GTAATTGTAAACAAGGAAGCAAATGATTTTTAACACATTTTGCAAAACTATAAATGTATTAATGCAATTAAAACCATGCTGTATAAATGATCAACAATTCCCTACAGTACAAAAGCTAAGTTGATATTTAAGGTCTTTTTTCTACCTGCTCAGATATTTCAATCAATCTAAGGCTTGCCCAATTTATAGTGATTATTTACATAGGGTTCGACTCAAATGTGTCATTTTAATGACAATCATAGCAACACTGTGACTTCTTATATAAAAAGGCCAATTACAAAAGAGTCAGTGCTCCATGGATTAAATTGATTGATCTGCATATCAGTTCATTTAATGGGTAGGCCATGATTTGACCAGACAACATAACAAAATAAATTGGCTACAAAGTGATACGTGATATGCATGAAGAATGTTTATTTAAGGTTGATGACCAAACACTTTATTATTCTTATGACAAGTATATGTGACTGATTGGTTGGCCTCCCCCTGATTAGTCCAGAATCTAAGCATGTCAAAATGCAGACAAACTTATTTAAAACTTTAAAGTGTATGCCTGGGCAAAATAATAATAAAAAAATACATACACAGTACAATGTGTACATTTCTACTTTTTCCCTTTCAAAGTGCAGAAAAATACCTAAAGATCCTACAAGAAATCCATTGAGCTGCTGAATACCTTTTGTTGACTGACAACACTATCGGAAGTGCACTGAAATCCCAAGCAGTGTTGTCAGGCCTGCTTGAGATTAGCCATGAAGGACTACAGAACTCCAGGTATCGCACCTCCTTTCTGTCCTTCTTCATATGCATACAGTGCTGTGAAAAAGTATTTCACCCCTTCATGATTTTTTTTGCGTATTTGTCCCACTTAAATGATTCAGATCATCAAACAAATTTTTCTATTGCACAAAAATGACACGAGCAAATACAAAATGCAGTTTTTAAATGTTGATTTCATTTATTAAAAAAAAAAGCTGTTCAAACCCGACTAACCCTATGTGAAAAGTAATTGACCCCCCCCCCCCCCCCTTGCTAAACTGTGATTAACCAAACTTTTTGGAAAGCTGAGTTAAATGTTACACCCAGCCTGATTACTACTAGACCTGTTGAATCAAAAAATTACTTAAATCAAAAATGTCTGACAAAGTGAAGCATGCTAAAACATCAAAAAAGCAACACATCATGCTGAGATCTAAATAACTTCAAGAACAAATGAGAAACAAAGTAAATGACATGTACTGGCCTGGAAAGGGTTACAAAGTCATTTCTAAGGCTTTGGGACTCCAGCGAACCAAGGTGAGAGAAATCAGGTAGGGGGCAAATACTTTTTGACAGCACTGTACATTCATTTTTTTGCATTGGCTTCAACTGTGTTTAATAACCACTTGCCTACCGGGCACTTTCACCCCCTTCCTGTCCAGGCCAATTTTCAGCTCTCAGAGCTGTTGCACTTTGAATGACAATTGCGTAGTTACTGCAAAACTGCAACACTGTACCCAAACAAAATTTTTATATTTTTTTTGAGACAGATATAGCTTTCTTTTGGTGGTATTTAACCACTTGCCCTCCAGAAGATTTAGTCCCCTTCATGACCAGGCCATTTTTTGCTCTTCAGCACTGCTCTATTTAAACTGGTAATTATGCGGTCGTGCAATGCTGTACCCAAATTAAATTTATGTTCTTTATTTCACACAAATAGAGCTTTCGTTTGGTGGTATTTGATCACCTCTGCGGTTTTTACGTTTTGTGCTATAGACAAAAAAAGAACAAAAATTTTGAAAAAACCCAATATTTTTCACTTTTGGTGATAAAAGATATCCAATAACTCAAAGTTAGTTATAAATTTGGGCCAAAATGCATTCTGCTAAATGTGTTTGGTAAAAAAAAAATCTCAATACATGTATATTAATTGGTATGCGTAAAAGTTATAGCGTCTACAAACTATGGCATATATATTGGAATTTATGTAGCTTTTACTTTCTGACTGCCTATCACATTTCTTGAGGTGCTAAAATGCAAGGGGCAATACAAACACCCCCCCCCCCAAATGACCCATTTTTGGAAAGTAGACACCCCAAGGATTTTGCAGAGAGTCATGTTGAGTTCATGGAACATTTTAATTTTTGCCACAAATTATTTGAAAATGACAATTTTTTTTTTTACACAAAGTTGTCATTTTAATGATATATTGCTCATGCATGCCATGGGTATATGTGGAATAACACCCCAAAACACATTCTTCTACTTCTCCATGGGAGATACCACATGTGAGAGACTTTTTGGCAGCCTAGCTACATACAGGCCCCCAAAATACAATGATGACCTCCAGGCTTTCAAAGGGCATATTTCCTCATATCACTTCCCCACTACCTATCACAGTTTCGGAGGCTCTAAAATGCCAGGATAGTACAAACACCCCCCAAATGGCCCCTTTTTGGAAAGTAGACACCCCAAGGAATTTTATAAGAGGCATGTTGAGTATTTTACAGATATAATTTTTTGCCACATGGTTTTGAAAAAGAAAAAATGCATTTTTGTTTTCTTTCTTCATTTTCCAAAAATATGTGGCAACAAATTAGATCTGTAAAATACTCACCATGCTTCTTTGCAAATACCTTGGAGTGTCTATTTGCCAAAAAGGGGTCATTTGGAGGGGTTGCTTCTACTATTCTGGCATTTCAGGGCCAACATTAGAAACGTATGCCACACATCACCCACTCAAGCCTTTTTTGACACTATGGGGTTTATTTACTAAAGCTGAAGAGTCCAAAATCAGACTCCCTTCTGCATAGAAACCAATCAGCTTCCAGGTTTCATTGCCAAAGCTTCATTGAACAAGCTGAGGTTAGAAGCTGATTGGTTTCTATGCAGAAGGGAGTCTGATTTTGGACTCTCCAGCTTTAGTAAATAAACCCCTATTTGAACCACCAAACATTATATATTTTTTAAAGCAGAGGCCCTAAAGAATAAAATGGTGGGTGTTGAAATTTTCGACGTCACACAGTATTTGTGAAGCGATTTTTTAAATGCATATCTTTTGGGAAAAATACACTTTTTAGGATTATAATGCACAAAAGCACAATATATTGTCCAATTCTTTGATAAAATATAAAAGATGATGTTAGGCCGAGTAAATAGATACCAAACATGACATGCTTTAAAATTGCTCATTCAGTGGCGACAAAGTACATACATTTTTATTATCGATAGGCGATGCTTTAAAAGCCTTTACAGGTCACTAATTTATATTTACACAGGAGGTCTAGTGCTAGAATTACTGTCCTTGATCTGACGTTCACGGTGATACCTCACATGCATGGCGCAACCGCTGTTTACATACCATCATGAGGTCAATGCTTGCACACGCAGGTGCGCGCATTGCAGGTGGGCAAGGGTACTTTTTTTTCATTATTTTGATTTTGTTTATTATTTTTACACGGTCCCTTTTTTATTTTTAATACATTTTATTGCTATCACAGGGAATGTAAATATCCCCTCTGACTGCAATAGGCATTGACAGGTATTCTTTTTTTGAGAAATCTGGGGTCTGTTAGACTCTAGATATCTCCACTGTCCTTATATCATCTGATCTCAGCAAGATCGGTGTGATCAGATGCTTTCCCAATTTACAAATGTGAAATTGAAGTGATGAAATGCTCGTAGCTTCCGATATCTTAGACTATAGAGATGATTGGAGCCATTCTGGTCTCTGACCAGCTCTATGGTCGGCCAGCGAAACTGCTGGCTGCATTCTCAGATTCCCCTGTGGGACAGGAGAGCCCAAGAAACCTGGAAAGCAGGAGAGATGGGGATGTCCCTTCCCGCTGCTCGTAAAAACAATTCAGCAGATCCCGTTATAACCACTCAAAGTCCAGAGACGTACCAATACATTGCTGGTCCATGTTGGGCATATATGTAACAGCAGAGGACTCAGACATACGATGAATCGGCTCTGTGAACCAATATGACCGCAATTCATTCTTTTCTGTAATGCCCATGTTGAGGGTTTGACCCAATAAAGTTTTACATTCAGAAATCGTGATAGGTTTCCATGCGAATTGTCCGGCAAGAGCTGAATTTGGGTGGGCAGTGATGTATTGTTGTGCGAATAAATTGCTTTGGCCCACAATCAATTGGTACAAATCTTCCATGAAAAACAGCGGAGGGGCTAAACACTAGAGCTGGCAGCGAACAGGGCTGATCCTGCTAACTCTGCATTTTTGGGGACACTATACAAAGGAGACACTAGTATAGCTCTATTAGTGATCAATACTGTATATTGATCCATACAAACACTATACTAGTAATGGTGGTGATCAACAACCTATAGAGTCAGTGCAATAGTGTGCGGGCAATCCAACGCTAGCTGACCCTGGCTGGGAGGGGAACCTACTCTATTTTTTTAAATACTTTCAGCAGAATAGTACAATGTTACCATAGTAACATTGTACTACTTTTACACTTTTACACTTTGCTTTGCAGGAGAAATAAAGATAATTTCTCCTGCGATGCAAAGCTTGCTGTCATGAATCTAACTCATTCATGAACTATCATCAATGGGTTAGGTTTTTTGACAGCTCAAGATAGTGATCGGTGATTGACTGAAGCTGGTCACATGGTATAGCGTGCTGTGATTGGCCCCATGTATCATGTGACAGCTGTGGGCCAGTCACAGCTCACTAAAAAGAGGAGTAGAGCTGTTATGAATGAGATTGATTCATAACAGCTTACATTATGATCACGTGATCGCATAGCAATCACATGATCACTGGGTCCCCTTCATCGGGATCTTCGTTCTGCTGTGTCCACCAGACACAGCAGCGCCCCCATGTGTTAGCACAGCCAGAGCAATGTATGTGTACGTCGTCTAGCCTGTTGCTGCTGCCCGGCCGCAGTACATTGCGGGCGGGCAGTCAGGAAGCAGTTAATCACCACTGAGTTTTTTATTTTTTGCTAAACAAATTAAAAAAGACTGAAAATTTTGATACAAAAAGTTTCTGTTATAAAATTTTGTAAATAAGTAACTTTTCTCCTTCATTGATGTGCTCTTATGAGGCTGCAGTGATGGGCACTGATAGGCGGCACTGATAGGGAGCACTGATGAGGAGGTACTGGTAGGTGGCACTGATGGGCATTGACAGGCATCACTTGTGGGCATTGACAGGCATCACTGATGGGCTCTGAAAGGCACCACTCATATATGGCACTGATGGTCACGGATAGGCCGCACTAATTGGAACTGTTAGGCGGCACTGACGGGCACTGATAGGTGGCACTGATTGGAGGCACTGATAGGCGACACTGACTGGCACTGATAGTTGGTACTGAAAGGCAGCTCTGATGGGCACTGATATGTGGCATTGATGTGCACTGGTAGGCACTGATATGTGGCATTGATGTGCACTGATGGGCACTGGTATGTGGCATTGATAGGCATTACAGGTGGCATTGATGGGCACTGACAGGTGGCACTTATGGGGCTGCACTGATCATCAGGGCACTGATCATCAGTGCCCTGATGATCAGTGTAGATGTCCCCTCTGAGAAATGTTGAGTACCGGCTCTCCTCTCCTCATGTACTGTCAGCATGAGGAGAGGCATTTCCTTGTTTATGTGCGATCAGCTGTGATTGGGCACAGCTGATCACATTACTCTGATCGGTGATTCGCTGTGTCCCAGGGACACAGCCCACCACTGATCACCATGCCACGCACCCCCAGGGGCACACATGCGCAGATAGAGTGGGAGGACATCATATGACGTCCTTCCAGAATGAGAGAACCGCTGCCATTTCCTTATATGGTGGGTGGGAGGCGGTTAAGGAAAGGGTTCTTGGGGGATTTAGTACTGGGGGCAAGCCTATATCAACAGAAACTGACTTCCTAGAAGCTGCCCCTGCAAAGTGACCATGGTACAGGGAGGAAGAAGGGAGGAAGAAAAAAATGTTTCTCACCACAGGAACAAAAGTAAAGAAAGTGAAGAAAAAATAAGGTTGGAATATGCTCTATACGGGAAGAAGAATGTTTAATGGTAAATTCGGGTCATGCCTATATACCTTTCTTAAGTGTTATCTTCCTTTGAGTTCACTGCAGTCACATCCACATATATTTCCACAAACAAGTCCTGTGAGAAGCTGCTGACCATTGTATGAAAATCAGAGTAAGCTAAACTCAATGGAGTGTCTAACATAAAGAGTAATTGCTGCAAAAGGGGCCCAAACCAAGTACTGCGTACATATGCATGCTTATACTTTTCAGAGGTCCGATGTTCTATGTACAATCCTTGTTTTATTGATTGCATGTAATATTCTAATTTTCTGAGATTGTGGATTTGGGGTTTTCATGAGCTGTAAGCCATAATCATCACAATTATGACAAATCACGACTTGAACTATCTTGCTTTGCATGTAATGAGTCTATCTCATATATTAGTTTCACCTTTTAAGTTGCATTACTGAAATAAATGAACTTTTGCACGATATTGTATTTTTTCGAGTTTCACCTGTATATAAAAGAGGAAAAAAGTGTTAAGAATTTTATATATCTATGCACAAATGTTTTGCCTTTCATTTCTGTTTTAAACTGCATGGGTTGTTTTACACAATGAGGGTTACATATACTCAGCCATTTCCAATATAGTCATTGTCATGCCTGACTCAACTTGGGGGGCATAATTCCACTTTAATGATAAAATATGGCAACCCAAAGTGTAAATTTAATTAAAAACAGCCAATATAATTGTTTCTGTTCATTCAACACTTAGTGTCATTATTATTACTGCAAGTGTACTTCTCTCTATGGTATTCATCTTAAAATAGTATACAGTTTTTGTTCAAAACAATTCCATAATAAATTGTGTCTTGCTCTCTCTTTTCCACAAATTTGATGACATCAATGAAGAAAAAGAAGAAAGAAAAAAATTCCAGTTCATATACTAAAAAAAAAAGATGATTGTGACTGCGAAGAATCAGTCTTGTTATCAAGACAAGGGTGTCAATTTCACCATGGAAAGGTCATTTAAAGGGTTCTTCTTGTTCCAAGTATGTTCACAAGACAAGCCTGTGTCAAAGAGACACCTGTAATTGGCAATGCTGGGAGAAAACACAATCAGGAGTCAGAATAATGGGTAAATAATGCAGATCAGAAGAATCTGCACATCATTACCTTATAGGACTTCTAATATATATAGAATCCGACAGACAAGTCATTTATTATCATGGTATTGTATGGTAAAGAAGGAATGAGTTCAAGAGACAGTGATCACCAGTGGAGTGCCAATGTTTTATTCCCCTAGCACATTTACTATGACCAAGTTTACAGATCATAGGCACCAGATATCTCCATTAGTCATCTCCGAGACACCAGCTCAGGGACCTATATTATAAGTTAGACACACAGGGGTTTATTTACTAAAGCTGGAGAGTCCAAAATCAGACTCCCTTCTGCATAGAAACCAATCAGCTTCTAACCTCAGCTTGTTCAATGAAGCTTTGGCAATGAAACCTGGAAGCTGATTGGTTTCTATGCAGAAGTGAGTCTGATTTTGCACTCTCCAGCTTTAGTAAATAAACCCCACACAGTCTAACAATGCCAAGACTCTTAGTTAACAGTCTGCGGTGTATACAGTCTTTTCACTTGGAGAACTCTCCATCTTGTCTCTCCATCTTGTCTCTACAAGCCTCACCTATTAGACCTCTCACAATTATTGACATTATTATCAGACAAGAGCATCTCCTACCTGTACCTTCTATATTGACTTTTCCTGGACAAAGCATATGAAGGGCATCTTTGTTCTTTCAAATTCCCACAAACTGGACAGATTTTAGCTAGATTTTCTAGTCTATATTATTTAGCTACTGCATCATTCAGAGCAGCTACTCTTCCAGGTGAAATGACAACCAGCATCACCCAATCAATTTTCCAGGTGCCAGGCTATGAAGGACAGAACCCCTTGGGGTGCATCATCATGACGTCTGGGTTCACAGTACTTATCATGTACCTAGATAGAGGTTGAACTTATAAGAGGGCTTCCCATACAGCTCTGGTCTGAATACCCCTGAAGATGGTGACAGGGAGTACAAGGCATAAGATGGCATGGGTATCTAGAGACCAGTCTGTTTGTGTCTGATCCTGAAGGTGATCAACAGGGTTGCTCTCTAGCATGGAGGTGAGAGTCTCAGAAGGATCACAAAGGGACACTGTAGAAGAGCAAGTAAGGCCCACCAGCTGGTGGGATGCCAACAAAGGTGCAAAAGTGATGCGGGATATGACCAGCTGGAGATAACTGGATTAGTGGTGTTGAGGACCAAGCCAGAATCATTAATAGGATATGGATAAGAAAATCAAGGCCGGGAACCAAGCCAATGTCATACGAGGGTGGTCAGTATGATTAAGGATAATAGGGTGGTAAGGAGCAAAATCCAGGACCATACACAGTTGGTCAGTAAAAGCAGGGTCCTTAAACAAGCCAGGTTTACAATCAGAAATCAGACAGAGAAGAATACAAAGGCAAGCTGAGTTGGTAAGAGGAAATCAAGATATGCACAAGGGTTAGGATGCATGGAAGCATGGTTCACGGACAAGCTCAAGATCATCCAGCAACAATCTGTCATTACTTCTTTCTTTAAATAGGGTGTTTAGCACCAGTTCTGGAATTAGATGTGTATGCATGTGCATCTGCATGTGCAGACATCCAAGAAAAGCATTGATGTGCACACCTGTGCACATGAGCGTGCCTACACAGGATAATGGTGGAATTGCCTTCATATTTGCCATGATCCATTCAGAAGCTTTGTACTGTGCTAATAAAGATAAAAGATGTTTTCAGGCACTGGAAGATGGAATGGAGGTTGTTTTGTGCAGTTTTAGGTGCAAGAGAGCACAGCATTGCAATGATGTTTCTTCATAGGCCTATAAGCAGACAAGGGGCATAGAAAGATGCGACAAAAAGTACCATAGTTGCCATCCTGGCTATATAGTGTGTTAGGGGAATGTGATTTCACCTGGTGGATGAACAAAACTACTAATCTAATGTTAGGTAAAACTCAAACATATATGCTCCAGTCATTTTAGTTGTGTTTTTATATATAAAGGCAACTGACAGCAAGGTATTTTCAATCATCTGGCGCTATACATTATTGTTGGCAACCCAGCTACATCCCAACTATTCAACCTAACCTCATCTTTTGTCTTAACACAATGGACACAGTCCTCCACTCACTCTGATGGGAATACATTAGACCTTGTTTTCTCCCATCATTGCACTCCCTACAACCTCACAAATGCCCCCTTTCCTCTCTCTAATCACACTCGCATCACCTACACAGTGTCCTCGTCTTCAAACACTTATCCCTCCAAGTGGCATACAATTACCTGCAGAAACCTTCAGAACTTTAACCCTTCTCTTTTCCACTCTGCAAATGACTGCCTCTATGACAGAATCTCCCCCCTGTCCTGCCCTGACATGGCCACTGCTGTCTATAACAGTTCACTTTCATCCACACTAGACTTACTTGCTCCTCTAGCTACATGAAGTATCAGGCCCCAACCATTACAACAGACTGACGACACCAGAAATCTTAAGCGACATAGTCATGCACTGGAGCGATTGTGGCATAAAACCAAATCCCAGCAAGCATTCACCCTATATAAATCTGCTTTCTTAACATTCAATTCCTCCCTCCATGCTGCCTACTTTGTCACTCTTATTGATACCTTGTCATCCAGTCCTCATTGTCTCTTCTCTACTTTTAACTCTCTACTGTCTCCACCTCCACCCAGTAACTCACTCACTGCTTACGAGATTGCAAATAATTTAAAAAATAATACTGATGCAATTTGTAGTGGTATATCTGCTACACAGACATCTATCCCACTTAGCATACCTTGTACTAAACCTCCCTCAACACTTTCCTCTTTTGATCTTGCTACTACTGAAGAGGTCACTAAAGTTTTCTCAGAAGCCCGTCTCACCACCTGCCCCCTGGATCCTGTCCCCTCACAACTGCTACGGTCATCCTCTTCTTCTGTCCTATGCTCCCTCACTCACATCTTCAATCTCTCCCTCTCTAATGGTGCCTTACCCACCCCTCTAAAGCATGCACAGGTCACTCCCATACTTAAAAAGCCCTCTCTGGACCCCACCAACCCGAACAACTTAAGACCCATCTCCCTGCACCTGTTTACCTCTAAACTCTTAGAACTCTTAGTCTACAATCGCCTGAGCTCCTACCTCACTGACAACAACCTTCTTGACCCTTTACAGTCTGGCTTTCGGTCACTACACTCCACTGAAACTGCCCTACTAAACTCACTAATGATTTACTAACTGCTAAAACTAATGGCCACTACTCTGTACTCTTACTACTTTACCTCTCTGTGGCTTTTGATACTGTTGACTATCCCCTCCTCCTCAAAAAACTCCACTCTCTTGGCCTCTGAGACTCTGCTCTCTCCTGGTTCTCCTCCTACCTATCGCAGC